GACGCATGGGCAACTTCTTTCAAAGCTCTTTTGTTTACAGACGCGTGTACATTTCTTTCAATGCTCTTTTGTTCAGAGACGCGTGGACATTTCTTTCAAAGCTCTTTTGTTCAAAGACGAGTGGACATCGACAGTGCTCCCTGAGAATGTGAAAGTTGTCACCCAACTTGAGAAGATAGCTCGAAGCGTTGCGGTCTTCGAGGGTGCTCCCTGAGAATGTGGGGTTGTAAAACAAAACGAACTTTGATTTGATGTCACCCAGAGACGTGTGTTCGACAATCCTAGATACGCGTTTCTCTCCCTTAACTCCTTTATTTGTAGAACAGACGCTTTCTGTAGGTATCGGCGTTAAAAAGGATCGATGTTTTAGGATCGCAAAATGTTCTGAATCATTCTCAATCCCTATCGACTTACTTTGACTTTTGTTTTCGAAACATACGTTTCTCCAAATTCAGTCAAAGTGGGGGCTTTTGTAGACACCTGATTGTGTCTCCCCAAAAACCAAACCTAGTGATGAGTACCTTTCACGTTCTGATTTACGAGTTCAGTGAAGAGTTGAAGACTCTCGTGAAGTTTCCCCTAAGCCTTGACCACATCCCTAACCTTACCTAAATTTTTTAATCCAAAATCATTCATTTCGTGCCTTTAAAGTCAAAATCATTCATTTTGTGCCCAAAATCATTCATATCGGGTCCACTTATAAAAACATCCAAACCAAATTATTTTGGCCTATAATCCTGGTCCAATTATTGCTTAGTTGGATGAGGCTTGAAAAAAGCTTTCCAACGATTTATTATAGGCCCAAATCCGACTTAAAACGGACAAGTTATGGCCAAAATACTAAACCGAGCCCAAAGCGGGCCTAGGTCCACCTTACCTACGACTCAATGATCATGTGAGGGTCCAAATACCTTATTCCCAATCCTAAATCCATTAGGATTCCTTAGGATCTTCTAGAATCATTTAGAAGGTTTTAATTTATCCTTTCCAAAAAGAAAAAGATCAAAAGAGTTCGAACCCGAATAAAACTTCTTATATGATAGTCCTTATCCCGTCCAAAATTAAAAGACGTACGGATAAATTACCCAATGCCATTGAAAATCAAATTTCGTACGGCTGTTTATCTTTAGGAAATCATCACCAGACGATAGGACCATCGCGCCGCGATGGACTCTCTCGCATCGTGATAAGCCTGTCGCCCCGCGATACGAGCTGTTAAACCATCGCGCCGCGATGGACCTTGTCGCACCGCGATGAAAGCTGTTCTATTTTGATTCGAATTCTGATATTTTCTGATCGCTTCAACTCTCTTTTTTCCTTATAAATAGAGGTCGTTTTACCCTGTTTTAGATCATGGACAACAACCATCAACAATCATCTTGATCATCTATTCTCTCTCTTGATCCCCATGTTCTTAGCCTTAGCCTAAACACATCCTTGATACTCTCCCAAATCATTGACAATACCTCATTCACAAACTTGAATACTCCTAGTCATCCTCGACGTTGCCTTTGACCTCGACGTGAAAGGTTGATAGTTTTGAGGGTTTGGTCCCAAATCAATATTTCAATTCATATTTGATTTATTTACTTTATTGATTTAACTTTCTTGAAGTTTACTAATGTGTGTATTGTTTTAATAGAAAGAAGGTTGAGGTATCAAAGTGAGTAATTCAATTATCTCTTTAATTATTCTTTTGATTTTGGAGTAGAAATCATGTTTACAATGTTCTTTTAATTCCTAGTATCATGATTAGCATGTTTTTATGATTTCTAGTATCATGTTAGGATGTCTTTATGATTTCTAGTATCATGTTTAGGATAATGCTTTGATTTTGTTATTAGTAACATGCTAGGATTTGTTATTAATCCGTTTAGTATCATGCCTAGGATCTTACTATTAACGATATTTTGATGATGATGTTATGATGATGATTCTTATATTAATCATATGTTGCTTGATTATTCACGATTTATTGTTATTGCTTGATCACGCCCCTTTTTGCAGGTTTAAAGGGAATTTGTACTTGAAATCATGCCTAATAAGATAATTAATAATTTGAGTTAGTCCAATATAATTTTAATTAAAATGATCACCAATAATAGATTTGATTGTGCATTAATAATCAACCAACGTAGATTTAAACAGGTTTAGGATTAATATGATGTATGTATGTTGATCGAAAAGCGCACATGAATATCATAAGAATTGAGTAGAGGGCTATTTAGGGCGAGTTCAATCTCATTTAGGTTGGATTCGTACCATCATCCCCGAACATCTAGTCATGGTTCCGGACCACTATGGAGTTAGCGATCTCCGTGATCGTGAATGGGATGTAACCTTCACACCCGTGAACGATTTACATGCTCCTAAAACTTGTTGGCGACACTTTTATCTCTAGTTTCTTTTCCTTGGAATGCCGCTATGCCTAAAAGCATGAACCATAACAGGGCCCAAGATTGAGTTTGAAAAATTCCCTACAGGCAGGCTTCTGGTTGAACTTGGAGTGAGTAATCTCAAACCTGTTGTCTTACATTGTGACAACCAATCTGCTTTGCATATTGCTCGAAACCCGGTTTTCATGAAAGAACAAAGCATATAGAAATTGACTGTCATTTCACAAGGGAAAAGGTCCTAGAGGGTTTAATCCAGCTTACTTACTTGCCAACTAAGCATCAGCTTGCTGACATTTCACAAAGATATTACCTTCTGCTCAGTTTCATGACTTATAGTCCAAGTTGGGAGTGTTTTCTCATACCACTCCTACCTTGAGGGGGGGGGGTGTTGATGATAATGGTGCTCACGTCAGCAACTAGCAACTCGAGCATAGTAAACTTGCACCATCTCACAAGTCTACAGCAGCTCAAGCTATTAGAAGTTGCTAGAAGATTCTAGATTATTCTAGTAGGAGTTTGTTATTTCCTCTTTTGCTGTTGTGGCATAGGTTGTTAGAAGTTTGTTATTTCTCTAACAAACTTACATTCTTTTAAGTCTGTATTTCTATAAATATAGGATACAATTCTCCCTTGTATTATTTCATTCAATTCTTACAAAATCAATAAAAATTGCTCTGAAATTTTATTTAGCTTTGCTTCTTCCTCAAGCTTTCTCTTAACATTTCAATGGATTATCTGATTTCATCAAGATTCCAATAGAATAAGGTGGAGTTAGAATCCCTCAGGTATGAGATTTCATACTTAAATAGTCCAACCAAATAAATAAAATCACGGAATGGATTCTAAATCAATTCCAAGAAGTTCAACCAAACAACCTCTAAATTCCCTCATGTTATATCTCTATCCCAAAACTACGTGTCGGTCAAACTGACGCACTTTAAAATTGTTCAACTACTCCATTATTCGGATTTGGGCCGGGTCAAGCTCCAATTGGGGGAAAACACTTATAATATTTGTTAACACGTTCTAAAATCTCGAACTTGAGATCATGGTTAAAGTGAAACAACTTCCTTACCATTAGAAATAAACTCAAAATCTCCCTCTAGTTATTGCAAGTCGATTGTATATTTGTATGAACGGCTGGGTGCACGATGCTAAAGACTTAACAATTAGAGTATACCCAGCCGTTAACCATTTAGGTTGGTTATTAGGAGAGAGTGTAAAAATATTACTTCCTCCGCTTTTTTTTAGTTGACACCATTTGACTTTTACACTATTCACAAACTACACTTTGACTAGCTTTTGTGATTTATAGTTACGATAAAACATAGTCAAGTGGGATTTTGTTTGAATCGTCTCAATGTATATTTTATTAATATTCACTTATTATAATTTTACAATGTAGAGAATTAGAGATATTAATCGTTTAAATATATTGACAAGCTTGATAAGAGAATGGTGTCACTAAATAAAAACAGAGGTAGTATACACAATTGTAGAAAGAGAAAAATGAGGAGTGAGAAAACAATAATCTGGTTAAAGTTATAACCGGTTATTGTAACATGGTTATTAAATAAAATATTCTTCCCACTTTTGAAAGATTCTCCACCCATTTAATAGTTAATGACGAATGATCAATGGTCAAGATGTATTTATAATTTATAACCATTGGACAACCATTGGGATACATAGGTTATAAAATAGTTATAGGAGTGGTTACAAATGAGGTGGAAGTAAGAGAAATGAATAAAATAAACAATACCCACAATTGTTGTGGTTAACCATTGGCTATACTCTTAAGTGCTTAGCGCCTTAACCTAGGAGCTGGACAAAATTAGCCCATCACTAAGAGCAACCTTAACCATGAATAAACAAAATTGTTTGGGTTACTATTTAAATAATTTAATATAAAAAAATTAGGTGATGGTGAATAGTGGGGTGAACAACTATGAATGGTTTGGAAACATTAAAATTGTTTGTTTGACGCAACAATGACTTTTGTTGATTTTTAAATCCAAAAGTCACGTGAATATATATATATATATATATATATATATATATATATATATATATATATATATATATATATATATATATATTTAATTGATATTATTATATTGTTAATTATATATATGTATTTTAATTTTTAGTAAAAGATAAATTGAGGTGGGGTAGGTGAATAGTAATATGAATAATTTTTTTTTGTTTCATGGTTAAGCAGAGCATGTTAGAAATTATTTATTTGATTTGTGTATATGAGAGAGAAAGCATTTTTTTTTTCCCATGAATAAAGATGCTCAAACACTTAAGAGTTGAGACGACGAATATATTGAATTATTGTCTGCTTTTGGGGGAATAAGTATTAGCGCATAGGAGTGCATATCAGCGCATAGCACCTATTGACAAACGAATTATATAGGAGGGCAGAAGCGTAGTTTACCAGACATTAGAAAACTTGAATATTCCACTTAACTGTGCTAGTGATACATTTAATACTCTGAATAATTAAAGTGATACGTATGTTTTGTATATTGAATTGTACCATTAGAAAACAGTGTCATCCTATACACTTTCTAAGCACGGTGGGCAAAGTTTAATACAGTACTCCGTATAAAGCAACTCAAAACCCCTTCCAATAGGAAAACACTTCAATTTTCTGGGTTTTTTTTTCATTCTACGGAACAATAGTTCCATTCAAAAATGGCGAATAATTCCATTCACAACGAAATTCATGCTCTTCAATCAATCTGCTACAAGCGTGGTTCACTTCAGCTTCTCGATCAGGTTCACTTTCTCTCTCCTGCAAATTCGCCTACTTTATCAATTTCTTCAAATTATTATATCATTTAATTTGTAAAAAATCATGAAATTGTACGCTAATTATGCTGTAAATTGTTGTTGATTTTTAACAGAGGAAGCTTCCTTTGGAAACTGTTTACTTGGATATTAAAAATGCTTCTGATGGATGGTATTTCTATTAGTTTTTTTTTTTTTTTTTATTTTTTTTATTATTATAATTATTGATTGATTTTGGTTTATTTTGATTTCGGAACTTTGTTACCATGTTTGTAAGATGCACAAATGGTAGAAATTAGGTATATTATGGAGTTGCATAAATTTTTGTTTAACTATCTATATGAGATTAACTGTACTGTATTTGAGGATGAGCAACACGTTATGGCCTGGTTGTAGAGGCATCACCCTAACCCTGAATCGTAGACTTATTGAGTTCGGGTTTCATCGCAGTGTACTAAATATATGTCTATCAGAGTATCTGGTTGGTCATTTGGTTGAATGTGAGAAAATATATTGTCTAGAAAAGGTTTTGATTGCACTCTATAGTGTATATTTCACTTGAGAGCAAAAGATGTGAACCAGTTATATACATAGCTTGACTATTCAGTGATATAACTCGAGTGACGAAATCGCCAATTATAGAGGAAAACCTATCTCATGTAGCATTGTGCTATAGATAGCGTCTTTTCATGAAACTAGATAATTCCTGGGATTTATGGGGTGTTTTTGGTGCCTAAAATACTTCAGTTTATTGGATGATTCAGTACTATTGCCAATCACCATTACTGCTTGTTGTTTAGATGTCACTAAGCTTTAGGAAAAACTGATTGTCATTCTTTCTTCAATCTTTAGAGGATATACTTGCCCTTCTTAAGCAATGTCTTCTTCTAATTCAGGTTTGCAATTAAAGAAATGGTGGTTCGTGGAGCACCAGCAATTGCAATCGCAGCTGCCCTCTCTCTGGCCGTGGAAGCTGTTAATTTAGAAACATTCCAAGGGACTGCTGATGCTGCTGCTTCATTTCTTGCGCAGAAATTGGAATATCTAGTCTCTAGGTTTGTTGCAAGTATCATTAACAAGTTGATCGTATTAAACCAAGTCATTGTTTGAATAAAAATTTTCTGTGTCTGACTTCTCAAATTGGTGTGTATGCTGATTTTGCATTCGTCTTTTATGTATGTATAGCCGTCCAACTGCTGTGAACCTTTCGGATGCTGCCACAAAACTTAAAGAAATCACTGTCAAAGCTGCTTCCACGCGTTCAGAAGCAAATGCTGTGTTTCAGGTAGGATAGCTTTTTCCTCTTGTACTTTAAATTGCTTATTATGTATCTTAAATTCATTAAATGCTCCATAATGGTGTCCTAGGCTTACATAGAAGCTGCTGAAATAATGCTTGAGGATGATGTTGCCTCAAACAAAGCAATTGGTTCTTATGGAGCTAGTTGCTTTGAAAGTCAGTTGAACGATGCTAAGAAAATATCCATCTTGACTCATTGCAACACTGGGAGGTATGTTGTTTCTCAGACATCATGATTTCTGATAATATCTGTATCGAGCTATCTGAGCATGTTCCGTTAGTTATATATCCACACACGTTCTTGCAATTTCATTGCAAGATAGATATTCTTTCGTAGAATTTCTATTGGATGTCATTTTTTTACAATTTTGTTGAGACTGCTATGGCTTTTTCTTAACAGTCTTGCGACCGCTGGATATGGTACTGCATTAGGGGTAATTCGTGCTGTCCATGCCCAAGGAATCCTAGAGAAGGCCTATTGCACGGAGACTCGGCCATTCAACCAAGTAAGTACATGTGATGCACCACACTCAAAATGTTGGTGGCTATCAAGTATCAACTATTTTACACAAACACCAGCTAAAAGAGGAAAAAAAAAAAGGGTGATGCATGGCTTTACTGGCAGGCGTTGTCTATTGATGTGTAGATCAGTTTACTCCATTGTCTATATGCTATATTTATATAAAAAAAATGATGCCAATGCATTAGCATTCATGCATGATGTCTGAGATCTAGCAAAAAGGTAACAAAAGATGGCTTTGTTGTTATTGGAAATAAAGTGCTGTAAGCCTGTAACCCGTTCACCCCGTATGCTCATAAATATTTTTGATTTACTCTTTCTATTTTTGGGTTTGGTGGTAAGGGAAAAGTATTGAGGGATAACTGGTCCTTTCTAAGTAAACTATTTGAAGAGTGATATCAATGCATTGTTTCTCTCCTTTTGTATGCTCCAATCCATGGTTTTTCTTCCTCTCTTGCCTTCCCTTCACCTATTATTCTAAGATACTCTATATCTAGAGACATTTAGTGATGGACCTCATGGTGATGGTGATTTCCCAAATTGGGTTTTGGAACTCAAAAATGAGAAAGCCATGGGATATTGCAACCAGACATCCTTTTTGAGGCACTTGGGCTTCAGTAATGCATTTTAAATGGGATAGTATCCTATTTAAGTATTTACTGTCACTTGAAATTGTCAAAGAATCATGATAATCAGATATACTATAAGTTAAAGAAGTTGACCCTGGAACAATTGATGCTTTTGATAACCTAGATCACCCTGATAGTTTTGGGCAGGAGATATTTCATGCTTCCAAACACCTTTTGGCTTTTGGTAATCATAAATGTGTGGTAACATTGTAACAGTCTGCTCGTGTTTTGAGCTTGTTTGCATCATCATCTAATTTCCAGATAAAATCCATTTGGTCTTGAAAGATGTGAGCATCCAGCAAATCATGTCAAGCCTAATTTCACAGTACGAAAACAGTGTGTCTGTGGAGGTTGCTCCTATGCATTCCCCTGGGCATGGGTGAAATATTAAAAAAAGACACATGTATCCTACCATCCGTGTCCTTAAATTTTTTTTCTTAATCTTTATATGTTGGGTATATGGAGCATGGACATCCACCCATCTTCTGCAAGCTATGCTGGGGGGAGCTATGAAGGTTATGGCCTTGGTAAAAAATTTATGCTCTGTCTTAAATAGTCCTATGCGCAGAGCTTCATTGGCAGCATAAATCAATAAATGTGGTGTCTTCAGTATTGGTGTCTAGGCATGCAATCACAAATTTTTAGACCAGACTGGGAAATTCTATCATGAGCAATTTGAGCATATGGCAAAGGAACATGCTAGTGATTCACAGTTCAAACTTCATATTGAAATATGTGCTGTAGAGGACTAGAGGGAGTGTTGATGAGTGAATGGGCCATGGGTCCATGTGGGTAAGTAAAATCACTGAACAGGCCATTAAACGGCCAGCTTATATTTCTGATTAATTGTGTGTTTGTGTCTTTAAAATATGGACAAATTTTTAGTTATTAAGCATATTATGTGACATATCTAATGTAACATTTTAAGTCTTAGTGTCTTACAGGATTATATGGCAAAGTCAGAGAAGAGCGAAAACGATTAGTTTGATTTACTATCATTTCATAATTATTACTTCCTCTGTTCTTTTTTACTTGATCTATTTCTTTTATCACGTTTGCCAATGCAAAACTTTAATAATCAATAACTTTAATTCTCCATAAGTAAAATTGTAAAAGTTACATATTATGATAGTACTTTGTGAGAAGAATTCAAAAAGATCCCACATGAATAAGTTTTTTCTTGTATTTTATTCACAAAAGATGGTCAAAGAAGGGGTGGTGAATAGTGTAAAAGTCAAAGCGGGTCAGGTAAAAATGAACGGAGGAAGTATGTTATTGTGATTATTGCTTTTCTTTTTCGTTGTATGGTTCTGCCCTATTTCTCTAAGGCTTTCTGTACTCATGCTTCATACTCTCTCTTACAGGGATCTAGGTTAACTGCTTTTGAGTTGGTGCATGACAATATCCCAGCTACGCTGATAGCAGATTCTGCTGCAGCAGCCTTGATGAAGGCTGGATGTGTTCAAGGAGTCATTGTAGGTGCAGATCGTGTGGCTGCGAATGGTACTCAGAGTTGTTGAATTTTACTTTTTTCATGGAGGGCAGGGGATAAAGTGGCATTCATTGATTTAATATGCTATTTGTAGGTGATACTGCTAATAAAATTGGAACTTACAGCCTTGCTGTGTGTGCAAAGCATCATGGTATTCCATTCTATGTTGCTGCACCTCTTACCTCAGTTGATTTGTCCTTGCCTTCTGGAGAATCCATTGTCATTGAGGAAAGGTCCCCAAAGGAATTGTTGAATTCTCGTGGAGGACTTGGAGAGCAAGTTGCTGCATCTGGGATCTCTGTTTGGAATCCGGCCTTTGATGTTACTCCAGCAAACTTAATATCTGGTATCATTACAGAAAAGGTTGATGCTTCACCCCTACACTATGGCATGGTATTTTGGACATTTGGTGATTTTACTTATACTAATGTGGATTTGTATCATTTTATTAGGGTGTAATTACTAAAAGCAAGGATGAGGATTTTGACATCAAAGGTTTTGTGCTAAAAGTGGTAGCCCAATGACTTTATGGAGGCCGGAACCAGCTACTTAGAAGGAGCCGCGAGAAGCCAATATAATAAATAGGTTTTTAACCTGATACTTTACTTGCTTATCAAGAATGAATGGTTGCGAAAGGGAGGGGGAGGGGGGATGTCCTGGCCTATTTACTCTTTTTTTCAATGGACTTCATACGGATTAAGATCCAGTTTCCTAAATGGAAATAATTGCATTATAATTGCAGCAATGTATGAGCTCTGAGGGAGTTTATTCGTGATTGTATAGCAACTTAGAGTTCATAATTTATATACGTTTTGATGATATACAATATTAAAAGATATTTCAATGATGTCTGAAATTTTGTGTCTTTGTAAATGTGCTGCAATATATTTTGATTATCTAGCATTCTGGCAAGCCGAATTATAAATTTATGCTTCACTATATGTGGTGGTAAGTAACTCAAGCCACTTAATAGATTTTGTCAGTTGCTAACTTGTTATTGATGCTCTTATTTGGCTTTTCACACTTTGTGTAAGAGGGCAAGGTTGGTTCACCTCTGCTCCTCTTTATTTTGATGAACATTAACCCGCACAATGTAAACCAGACTTTTCCCTATAGTCGGGGTTGCATTCTAATTTTATGTTATTTAATCTTTTTTACAATCTTGAACACCCTGAAATGGGTACAGGCAAACATTTGTTGTTGAATAAATACAGAGTACTACGTTATTCAATACAAAATTGTCATAAAATGAAGAAAAAAAAATGCATAATTGTTATAAACCGTGAATTTCTACTTTCTAGAGAAATAATGTATGCTAACTTCATAACCTTGAAGTGGATGATCATTAGAAGTAAGGGTTTTTGGTATGGGGTCTTAAGGAAAGGTTATGAGAATGAAGTCTTTTAATTCCCTCACTTATTTGTTGGGTCATTGTTTATTCCCTTTACCCTCTTGTTTCCCCCTCTTTCCTCTACCATGTTTACCCCTTTATAATGTAAGACCTTGTTCTCTTTACCTTATTTTTACCGAACGGAATTTATTTTTACAGAAATGAAATTATTTTGCTGAATTGAAATTGTTTTTACTAATTAAACTAATTTTCATTTATTTTCTAATATATTTACTCTTTAAAGTTACTGATTTTTACATAACTAAACTTATTTTGCTAAACTAAAGTGAAAGTATTTTTACTAGAATATTATTATTTTGAGGTGTGAAGAAAATAGAGCCTGCCTTATAGGGTTTGACCTAAGGGAAGGTCTTTTCTACTTTGACCACTATTCAACCGTTAATATTGCCTCACCACCCATGCTAACCGCTTGCATTGCCTAATCCCAACCACCCCTACACCCACCAATCCCACCCTGCCGCCCTAACAAACCACTTGGATAACTCACCCTACCCTCTCGATAATACCTCCCCCGCCTATCAAACTCTGCCCACTCACCTAAAAATCCTCCTCACCTACAAATATCATCCCCAACCACCAAAAACCACCCTCCTACAAAATCCCTCCCTAGCTCTCACCCATTGGAAACCCCCCTTCTCCTCCACAACCAAAAACCTCCCCCCATCTCTACAAAGGGTAAAAATGAAAACTGGGGGGCTGATGGCGGTTAAAGTTCTCTTTGTGGGTGATGGAGGTTGTAGAATGAGAGATGAGGATTGGTGGTAGTTTTGTTCCTCTGCCCTTGGCCTGTTATTTTTCACCTTAAAAAATAATATTTCTTAAAAATCACTAGGTTATCCCTGGCGATGCACGGCTAGCATTAGTCTTTCTAGTAATTTATGATATGTTGCATTACATTGTATATAAGGATTAAAATTAGATATATAATAATTTACAATTAAGGATATATGAACCACATTATTTACAATTAATAGTTGAAATAGTTGAAAGAAAACTATTTAAGGATGCATATTAAAGAAATATGAAAAAAAATACTCCGTATACAATATATTAGCCGTTGTATAGTTAGTCTCTAGAGGCATTTATTTGATTTTTTAGTCATAATTTATAAAATAATTTTCAAAGCAATAAAAATAGAGTAGTTTTGCTTTAAAAAAATAAATAAATAAAGATGATGTCATTAAAGCATTAAGGTGGGAAATTTTTATTTGAGAAAGCGACATGTGTACAAATTTGGTAAAAGATGATGTCAGCATGTTTTATTTTAGTATTAGTTAATAGATTTCAATTCACTAAAAATAACTTCAATTCAAATAATTTCAGTTCAGTAAAATTATTTTTAATTACTTCCTTCGTTTTCTTTTATTGCACCATAAGGACTTTTACACTATTCACTTAATCTTCGTTGACCATCATTTGTAATTTATCCATTAGGAAAAATATAGTCATGTGAGACGAGTTAGATTCTTCTCGAAATCTACTTTTCAAATATCAATTTTTTTATAATTTTTACAAAAGAATAATTGAAGGTATTAATAACTAAAGTAATGCATTGACAAGCGTGAAATCTTTCATGGTGCAATAAAAAAATAACGGAGGAAGTATTAAAAATTAGTAATCTTAGAACAAATGTAATAGAGAATCGGTAAAAATAAGTTTTAATTAAGAAAATCAATTTCAGTTCGGTAAAATTAATTGCAATTCAATAAAAATAATTTCATTTCAATAAAAATAAGGTGAAGAAATTAGGGGCTTGTTCCTATACAATCAAAATTAAAATTAATTTGGTATGGGATAATTAAAAAAGGACAATGGAATAAACAAGCTCAATTGTTGTTTATAATGTCATTTTTATCCTTCCTTTTACTATCTCCTTACCCCAAATTCTTGTACTTTGATTTCCTAAATTCCTACCCCACTGGTATATACATTTCCTTTCTGCCAACAATGCACTGCCCCACCCCCACCACCACCAACACCATTGGCACTACCCCACCATTGCCACCTTCAATAGCACCCAAAAACCACCTTAACCCACCCCTCCAGCCACCCTAAACCATCTTGAAACCACTCCCAACCCCCTAAGACAGTAAGACCACACCCTATCCAGTACCCACTCAAAAACTACCCTAATAACCCACCCAAAACAATCCCCACCTACCCGGAAAAAAACCCGTACCACCTTGAAAACGCACCCCTACACACTCATAACCACCAACATCCACCCAAAAATTCACGACCATGATTGAAAATTTAATATAACGAGTAAAAATGAAGATGTACTTTTTTATATCTTCAATTATGACTTTAGATGGTCAAATTCAAGCATAAAAACGGTAGGAGTTTTCTAGATTGAATTTAAACTTTAGAACCTCAAATATAACCACAGTGGTGGTAAAATACTTAAGGTTAAAGCAGAGGTGGCGGTGCGGCAGCAGGAGGGGATGGTGGCGGTAGCACGGCGGCAAGGGTAGTGGTGGCGACGACACCATGAGATGAATTGTAAATGTGATGTAGCATGGGTGAGAGAAGTAATAGATGTTTAATTTCTATTATTCTTTCTTTTCCGTTGAGATGTTTCTTTCCTTTCTTCTTGTATCCCTTTCTCTTTCTCTCTTGAAAACCAAACAGCCTCTAATTGTACTTTTTACGTTGTTTTATTTTATTAAAACGTACAAAATCCAGCATCCCAGAAATAACAATACTATATTAGAATAACCCTGCACTTCAATAGGATTAGAAAGACATTACAATCTAAATTAACATACAAGCGGATATCAATATTTACAAAGAAAATGAAAATCCTAGACCAAGAAAGCAGGATCAGGAACTTCTTCATGTTGTGGCTCTGGTGGGGATGGGATGATAGGCAAACAAATAGCTAGAAACACAGAGAGAGCAGTGTAAAGGCGGAGGTAAAGATGGCTGAGAAAGAAGGAGGGCCAAAGAGAAAGGAGGAGGATCCATGGGTAGAGGTACAAGAAAACAGGGGTTGGGCAGAGGAGAGAGAAAGCGAATGCAATTGTAATGAGCAAGGACCATCCATCTAGGAATCGAATTTGTAAGAGGGTGAGGAGGTGCTTGGTGTTGCCTGTTGTTGGTTCAGTGGCAGCAAAAAACCCGAAATATCAAGGTTTTCAATGAGGGCCAGATACAGAGGAGAGGGATGAAAGGGCGGAAGTAGTAGAAAACAGGAGCTGGACAGATGAGGGAGAAAATGAGGGCTGTGATGAGGGAAATAGGCCACCTTTGTCCATGCTGCACTGCCAATTCAGTCCATAGGATAACGACGTAGCAATTATCAAACTTATATAAGTATGCCCTGAAGGATAATGCAAGGAAAAGAAGAGGAAAACTTCTGGCCTTAACATATTGATGACAAACAAGAGGATCCATTTTACTTCAAAGTAGTAAACTTCTTGATTCTGATCATCTTCAGCCGTACTCATATTTTAGAGGTATTTGTTTCCTTAATATAGATGAGGTTCTTTGAACTGATTGATGAGTTATTCTTATGAATCTCCCCCATCATCCATATATATAGTATATTTGAAAAAAGTAATCAAGTTCATAGACCCATTATTATATGATATTATAAGATAAAAAGCCCAAATATTTCCACAAACCCATAGCACCTAGCTTCTTCTGTTCACGTGAAGACAATAATTTAATTCGGTTATCACATGAGGTGGGGAACAATTAAGTAGTCAATGAAAAAAATAATTCTTCCATTTTCACAAAAATCCTTATTTTAATTTTCTCTCTTCAACTCAAGAAACAAAACCGGCCTATTGTGATTTAGGATTCTGTAAGCCGATTTTGCTGTCGTCGGCTGGTGCCTCTTTGCCACCGATAAAGGTGTTCGGAATATTTTGGTGATAATGAGAACAATTGTAAGTTTTTTATCTTAGTTTGTTTTCTCCTATAATTATATGTGGTTTTTATTGATGAAAACAATTAGTAATTTTCGGTGACGTATCTTTTGACATTTAATGTTTTGTGCGGTGGTATGATCATTGGAAGTTTATTTTGAACCCCCATTTATAAATTTCTGGATCCGCCACTGTATATACTACCTCCGGTTCGTATTATATGCAATTTTGATATATTATTTATAAAATATAAAAAATTCTAAATTTGCATATATAATACGAACCGAAGGTATTTGTTGTGCTTTTGCATGTTGGTCGGAATGAATTTAACAACTGTATGTCATATTTGTAAAAGTTTTTAAGAAAAATATTTATTAAACATGTGATGTTGCTGATGCGGTTTTGTGAAAAGGTTTTTCCCTTACACTGAACCAAAGGCCACCCTGCACTCCCTCAAAAAGTCAAAAATTACAAAGGTATCGTTAAGCACTTAAGCTACTTCTTTTCCACAACATTTTGACCATAAGGTGCTTGCGTACGTTTTTTATTTGCAATGCGCCAATGCACATACAT